GTGCCCTGCCAAGGCCGCGCGGCCGAGGTCAATGACCCCGCCAAGGCCGCGCGGCCGGGTCAGTGACCCCGCCAAGGCCGCGCGGCCGAGGTCAGTGACCCCGCCAAAGTCGCGCGGCGGAAGTCAGTGACATTACTGTAGTATGTATATAATACATATAATACAACATAAAGTATAATATTATAAATATATAATAAATTATATGTATATAATATGTATTATTTAATGTTATATATAATATAAATTACAGTCATGTTATTTTCACGTGTTGTTTTTCTACTCTTTCCTGTCACGTGACTTTAGTTACGTTTTTAATTTTCTCTACATATACGACGAACTGTTTCAAAAAAATCGCTTTTCATTATTTACTCTCTCGATCTTACCGATTCGATTCGACTCGATCAACTAACCAACCAATCGGCAACGCGGAATTTTCTGGTAGGATTTCTTTTCTATTGCTGTAACAAAACTATTCTTTTGTTGCTTATGTAAGGAATTGATTAGAAAAACTATCAAGGTGTACAAAACATAGTTTCTATTGTGGTAATAATACATAGTAAATTATCGACGAGTATAAACGTATAGTTATTGCTGTAATAATATTACCAGTTTGCAACAATTTGTTATAACACTGTGTTAATAACACAAGATTTGCCATGGTTATCACATAATATTCATATTGATTGCTTCCAAGTAATACAAATCAAATCAAGGACCTGTATATCCTTTCTTCCATATTGTGTCCTTAAGATAAGAGCCCACTATAGGATCATTGAGCATTCCCTCTACGATGTCTTTAAAGCCAAGCTGACTAGCTAGTACATATTTACATTCGACGTCTGACAATTCAGACACTAGAGTTCTCATATTGTTTGTCATGGAATGGTTAATACTTTTTTCTAATCTGTATCTAAAAATAAGAGAACATGTTTAAGTTTTAGAGAAATATCATACAAGTGTGTATGGACATATATATTATATAGTGTTTTAAACATATCATGTAAAGTGCATTTTATTAACTTACCTACGCGCACAATCTTGCACAATTACAGATGTTAGACTGTTCACTATCATGAATTCTCTTAGATAATTGGTCTCTCCTTTAAGAATGTAGTGATGATAAATGAGATTAGCCCAGTCCGCGTGATAATTGTACGCGCGAGTAACGATAAGAGCTTGAGGGAAGTTCAAAATGTGTGATAACACTCTGTCTATTTCGTCGCTTTTCAAATTCAGCACGCATACTGCCTGCTGATTTTGCGGCACCGCGTTCAGCAATCCGATTTGAAGAGCAACTAGTTGAGCTCGATGGGAACATCGGCTGGCGAGATTTAATTTTTTGTCCTAGAAAATACAAAGTAATTGTATTTTTATATTTTTCTAAACACTTTCTATTAATATTAAGTTTTGTTTTTATTTTATTTTTTTACCTGCAAATAATATTGAGTAGCGTGAGTGAAATTCGTTACAGCCAGTTGCAATTCTTTGTGGATGTTCTCGTCTCGAGTGAATCTTATTTCTATCGGAACACCGATTCCGCCTTTTCTGCACTCTTTTAAAATATCGGATATTAATTTCGCAATTATTCCCTTCGCCTCGTTTTCCCACATAAGTGCAATTTCGTAGTACAAACGGAAGTGAAGTGCCACTAGAGTAAATAACTCTTTGTCCTCAGGACAGTTGCGCTTCAAAAAGTCCAGCAGTGCCATTTTCAGACCAGGAACCTGTTCAGTTAAAAAAAAAAACGGTTTTTTTTTGTGTAAAAGATATTGTGTTCAAAATGCAACACAAACTCACCTTGTCCAAACCTTGTCCGAGTAATGACTCAAACTGATCGTTTTCCTTCAGAATTTGAAATATGTAGTTCATCTCGGTAAATCGTCCGACACCAGTCACAAGACGTACCTGGAAATGCAGAGAATAATTAAAAAACTTATTTAAATTATAAAATAACTGTTATCTCTAAAAAAATAAATAAATGAAAATTACGTACCAGCAACGCCCAGTGTTTTAACATTTGCAACATATTGGCGAGATTCTGACATTTTCGTAATACTGATGCTATTCCTTCCATGTTACATGAAGTTGTGAAACAATCGTGAGATCTTATCAGTATTTCCACTATTGTTTTTAATGCTGAAACTAAACGCAATATGTAGAAATTAACTTAAAGAGAGATCTTATGTAAAGATTATTTGATAATGTAAAAACAATAGACAAATTACTATTTCTCTTTTCGTCATGGGTACTGATGTATCTTCCCAGCAGCGACTGTGCTGCTTTCAGTAATTTCGAGCCCAATAGCGAAGTGTCGTTACAGAGTTCCATTATCAAGTGAAAATGCGAATTCATAGAGTAACCCCACATAAAAATCAGATCTTCTTGTCCATCTTGAAATAAAGAAAACATTTATAATCTTCACACATTCCACATTGAGATAATAAAACTAAGTGATAACTTTCATGAAATTACCTTCTATGGCACGATTTATGTGCATTATAATATTCTCAGTTAGAAATGTTGCCACGCTCTCCGTTCCGATCTTGTAAGATACTATTATATCGTTGGCAGTCTCGAATTTGTTCTCGATATTACTTTCTACAACTTCTTGCAGGAACTTAAGCGGATTGTTCAGCATCAATAGCGAATGATACGTCTTTCCTAATCGCGCAGCAAGCTTATAACAGGAAACGACTCTCGAGCATATCTCGTTTCCGTGATTAAGAGTTTCCGATAATTTTTCCAAGACAGAAATGCACTCCGTTTGGAGTTGACGAGTGCCAGTGATGTTTGTGTCGCTCGTTTTGTCGGGTTCGGAACTCGACAAAATCATATTTACTGCAACAAGTAAAATATACACGTTGATATATAAATTTATAAAAAGAACACAAGCAATAAAAAAATACGATAAGATATATATGTGCTATGGAAACGATGATAAGTGTCACTAAAATAATAGAAAATAGCAAAACGTACGAGACAACGAGGAAGATAATCTTTGCAGACCGCGATTGCGCAAAAAGCCGTATTTTTGTTGCTTGTTCTTGCTTGTCTCTTCCAAGAGACTCTTTTGCTGTGCGGTTAAATCCGCCGGTGAAATCTCACCCTCTGCTACGCTCAGACACAACATCAATATTTGTAGATCCTAGCAAAACACAGTTTACATTTACTGCTACACCACATAGTTTCGAATTATAAAAATAAAAAGAATGCTTACTTTGTGATTGCAATTAAAAATTGTGTTTATTCGCAAGGCAACATCCACTCTACCTAAATCGATTAGTTTATCTATTAAAACTCCCACAGAATAAATCTCAGTTTTGTCCGTCAAGAAACAGCTAACTTGCAATCTGTCTAAACCGAATAATAACTCCGTTTTTAATTTACTGAAGATGTTATCGTTGCGATCAAATTCCACATTTTCGGGTCCGGCTAAAATACACGACTTCCACATTGCCGTTTCGAGAGTATCGATAGTTTGTTGCTCGATTTCGGTGTTCTTCAAGGTTTCGTAAGCCAGTTTTAAGGCTTCGTATCTGAGGAAAAAATATATTTGATCGTTTACATTGAAACCAACGTTTTCGTTACACGAAATATTCACCTCTCTTTGTGCGATAAGACTTTTTCGGCATGTTCGACAAAAAATTCAACCGCTAGTTGAGGAGAAACGTTGTATTTGCTTAAATCCTGAGCACACTGTAGCCAAAAAGCAGAGTTTGTCTGACTATCTCCGTTTACGGATTTCTTAAAAATGTTTCGATACTAAAACAAGTAAAAATTATAAATTTATATTTTTATGGATAAAAGTATGAAAGTGAACAATTTTTTTTAAAGAATATTAAATATATATTACTTGTGCCAATATAATTTCAGATAAATTTAACTCAGCACGACTGGCTATTTCCAAAGCAGTGCTGTAATTCTCGACCGCTTTCAAATCGTTAATGCATCTTTGGATCTCCGTGTCAAAATTATATACGTTATCAGTTACAATAACGGCCTTGAAATTTAATACTACGTCGGTTTTCTGTAGAAGTCTTGTTATATCGAGCAGACGTTGAAAATCCGGTACTGCAACTGGAATATCGTGTATATAAAACAAGTTTTTATAAATTACTCGTGTTACAGCAAAGTTTAATATAAGAGATGTGATGTTATAATTGTTTTTACCTGGCAAATCTGCAAAAAAATTGCACTTTATTAGCGCTTCGAGAAACTTGACTCGCAATGACGTACTTTGAAAACCGTAGCCAAGTGCTGTGACAATGCAACGAGTTGCCACAACTGCAACCCAGTATAAATTTTTCAAATACGTGAAATGGACGCTATCCCAGTCCATAATTCTCTACGTCAAAAAAAACACACAACGAGTTGGTGATAAAATAACATGATAGAATTATTTTATTGTACATATTCTTTTCTGAACTTACATTGCTTTTAAGTGAGGAACATTGCAACTTAAACTCCGTCAGATACCGCTGACTTTCCTTAAATTCCCCATGATTCACTGCTTGCGTTAGGAACTCGAAAAATGGATTCAGAATACTATCCTGCAATTATATATCGACAATTTTAATGAAGAATGCGCGATTGCACTGTATGTTGTCACACGTTAATTCAACTTACAGGCATAAAAATTTTGTACGCTCGGTTGACTGTCTTCACGTAACCACATTCAACCATTTTGTTCAGTAGTTCCGACACTTTTTCGGAAGGCCATATTTGTTGCTCTAAACACTCCGTGTAATCGGAAAGTATATCTTCTCTCGCTGTTGATATCACCATCCAGCAGTAACAGTAAGCCGCTACCGAAGATGGCTGTAAACAATGAAAATTTTAAGTTGCGCTGGAAAAAATTATCATTTGATTATTATTGTTGATCGAAAAAAATGTTACCTCGTAACACGTAGCAAGAATGGTAAATATGGGTCTTAGGTACAAACGGGACGCGTTAATTAATGCTTTAGGTGGGTCTTGACTTTGATGACAATTCAATATGGTCAGCCAAAAGTCATTATCTGAGGTAGTTGAAATGCAACTGTCTGAAACGTGTTCTGTACCAATGATATCACTTCCAGATATGGATGAACTAGACGCTAGAGATTCCTAAAGAATGAGTATGTTCATATAAAAATCTTGACATTATTACGTTTAACAAAAGATAAAACTCACACTTTGTTTCGCTCCGTCTTTATTCTGTAACGATCGCTTCATCTCGCGAGTCTTCGGTTTCTCTTCAGTCCCGCATGAAGATTTGCAAAGCTTATTGTTGTTCAAACACGTCAGCAAATGTTCCCGTACGCTCGCATTATTGAACATCTTGACGTTTTCCAGCACCTATTTTGCGATTGGATCAGTAAGTTTTATTCTATTTATTTGTATAATATTATTGAAATTTACCTGCTTAGTGGGATAAGCGAATATATGACTGACTGCAACAAATTCGAACCACAAATTACGATCGGCCAAGTATCTCGGCAACGTATCGGGCAGCGCGCAATTGTGAACTCGCGCGAAGCGCACGATAATGTCCCACAGTTTTAACGTTTCGACAAATTGTTCATCGTTGCGCGTTAAAGTCTCATCCTGCAAATGATCTTGAAAGCATTGTTCCAGATAAGATATCACAGACTTTAAATCGGCTTGGTTCTTGTACAGTACATTTTCCAGTAAGTTTCCTGCGGTGATAAACAATGTTGATTTTTTTTTCTTTACGTCGCAAATGTCACATTTGTTAAACTGCAAAAGCGAATTGCAAAATCTGTCATCTCACCTATAGGAACGTCTAGACGATCCTGCACGTATTTCGCCACAGTAACGTGCAATCGCAAAATGCTCGAATCGATTCGCAGCAGCTCGATGAAAACGATACAGCTGCACACTACGTCGGATTTATCTAAATTTCTCAGAGCGAGGACATGCGCGTATAAGGCCGCTTTGGTTTTTCTGAAAACAATTAGTCTGGTTATCGCAATGGATAATCGACAAATAGTTTTATCGCACGAACCTTTGAGAAGATACGTTTCCGAGTAACTTGGCTTGAGCGTGAAGTAAACTATGCGCAGCCATGTGCGGTCTGCCTTCCTTCAAGTAGTAACCGTACGTTAACGTTTCTTTAGGCCCGTACTTTTTGACGAGATTTTCCCTCGTGAAAGTGGGCAAAGGCTCATTCTTGAAACGCCACTTGAACAAGAGTTTCGCGTTGACGTTTTGAAAACCGTTTAATAGATCGTAAACTGTAATTTCGTCGATGACTTCGCGTTTAATAACGGACTGTAACGTCGGTATGTTCGCGAGCGTGGACTGAACAACTTCCTGCGAGAGCTCATGTTCACCAATTTCCAAAACTCTTTTGTTTGTAAATACATCTCTTATCAATTCCTTATGATTGCGCGCTTCTTCGCTTTTCATCTGCGATATTTTTAACAATATCAACGTTATGGTCAGTAAATAGTTTGATTTTAGATATTCGTTAAAGTCGTCAGAGAGATAGTTGATCGATTTGACGATTCCGTCTGTTAACGTGTCTTCGTGACGATCTTGAGTATTGCACATATCGGTCAATACGTTAAATAACTTTAGGAGCTTTACATTGTCTTCTTGAGTAGGACATTCTTGCGAACAGTGCGTAAGGCACAACTGTTGATTAACGGTTTGCAAAAATCCCGTTCTATCGATGTTGCAAGAATCTAGGGATAATATATTTGTACTGAATTCCTCCAGTGTAATGCCACAGCCAAAAACACGATTTAAAATTAATTTTAAATCGTTCTCTTCCTCCTTCATAAATATTCCATATCTGAAACAATATATTTATATTTATCCAGTTTAAACTGTTTTCTTTTTGTGATAATTATTTATTTGTAAATCCTACAAGCGTATCTATATACTTCACATCTTGTATATGATCAGTGTCAATACACACCTACATAAATAATCTTTAGTTAAATCCTTCACAAGATTGCTGGCGTCCGAGGAATCTATTTGCTCCACCATATCAGATGTAATATTCAAATTTGCAAATATTGATTTTAAATGTTGATCAATATCATCTGAGTCTCGCACAGCATCTGGATTATATCTCGCGTCGATCCAGAGCCTGAGTGCTTTAATTTTATTATTAGACAACAGATAATTCCATAGAATGCTGTTTGGCACATCGTTTAGAATTTGTGGGTTATTCAGAGAGAAATACAATTCAGTGCATAAGGCTTGCTTGATCTCTTGCGGTAGCTTTATGACATCATCTATGCATATGCTATAACTTAATCCATCCTGAATTCTGTAAATAAAATAACGTTCTCTTATACTTTTTCATATTATCACATGATATGTGTGTTTTCTTTCTTTTTCTAGTCTCATAAGCTTACTCATATTTTTCCTCATGCTGTGCAATAGACTTGACAATGTTCCATGCTGCAAAATGTTCAGTCTCAAATCCCTTAACACTGATCATATATTCACACAAATAGTTTCTTAATAGTGGCTCTGTGCTCTTTATACAAACACCAAAAATATATTTCACAGGATCCTTTCCCTGAAACAAACATTATCTGTGAAAGAGATGTTTTTGTTCAAAAATATTAAATATTCTGTATATTACAAACATAAAACACACATGTATAAGCTGTGTATTTTCAACACATGTAACGTACCATATTTTTTAAAATATGTGAAGCTCTGTACACTTGCTTCTTGTTCAACAATTCAGTAATCCAAATTTCCACCTCTTTGTTAAAATATATACAAGCTTGTTCCACAGAGCAATGTCTTCTAAATGCCAGACATTTGTGAGCTAATTTTATGTGGGTTCCCTTAGCAGAGGCTTCTCTCACAAGCTCTCTGTCTCCCAGCGTACGCCAGCCAGACCATATAGCTGCTGATTCTCCAGTGAGGCATTCCACAGGAATGCCTCCAACAGTTTTTTTCTCTGACATTTTGTGACAGCAACATATAACACCTCAGTTTTCACACTTTTACTCTAGTGCACTTTTTATCTCAACTAAAAAAATTTGTATATACTAAGGTAAACAACATATGATTATTTCATATGTCACACAGAGTATATACAAATTTGTTACATTCACAAATTGTTTTTTATATTACGATATAACTCTCTACATTAGATTTGTATACAATCTGATGGAAAGTAGTATACGAATTTTATTGTTATACAAAAATATATGTACACATATATAATATAAAAAAGGGGTTAGGTAAAATAAAATTAGTAGAAAAAGACTGAAGAACAATCATCGATACTTTTATTCGCACTCTGCACAAACACTTCAAATAATACTCATTTACTGCGCGTGTACACGTTTCTTTTGAAACGTCATTTACACATGAAGTCACACGTCGTGTTTGGTGTGGTATATCAAATGTTTTGTCCTTACTAGAAAAAATAGCTTGGTGAACTTTGTACCACAACTTAACCAGCAACTGGTAACCAGGGTTGGGTTCACGTATTATACATGAGATATTGTACATTGTATTTTATCAAAACAAATGTTTGTATAATAAAAGTTATACAACTAAACACAACAACTATACAGTTTATAATTTGTATAGTTGTTGTTTAGTTGTATAATTGTTATTATACAAACATTTGTTTTGATAAAATACAATGTACAATATTTCATGTATAATACGTCAACCCAACCCTGCTGGTAACAGCCGACAGCTGATCAATCGGCCGACACGTTGAACAAATAAACTTATAAAACAGCGCGCGACAACAATAAAATATTTTGCTACAACAATAAGAACTTATAATTTTTTTAATTAATCTAATTTGTTATAAACATGATTTTTAAAAAAAAGATTTACAAAAAGATTAGTCTTTTATAAAGATATAACAATTGTATATAAAAAAATTAGTTTTTTTTACTAAAATGCTTACATGTAATTTAAATATTAGATCATACATTGAAAAGGACGTAATATCTAACAATATTATTGCTTGGTGTACTTGTCACGTCATTCTATTTATGTTAGGTTCACATTACTAACGTCCGTAGGAAGCTTAGATATGCAAAACTCGTTTTGAGCACCTAAATAAAAATTACATATTGTTTAAAATAAATATTTGCTTCAGTTGGTTTTTTTTTTTTTTTTTTTTTAAGAAAAATGTGTATGTATAAAGAACGTAAGGAGAATTTGCAAGCAGATTATTTTGATATCGATTTATTTCACGTAAAAGGATATCACGAAGTAATTTTATATAAACGTTTCTATAATGCAATATTGCATTCCTTACACTTCCAAAAGTCGCTAGTGATAAATTTATCATTCTGCCAACGCTGATCTTTATGGGATGACTGGACATGGCAATCACTAAAACCAGACTGCGAACTGTCTTTGCCGGCAGCTGATACCAATCGATCATAAAACATATCGATCCAATGTAGCTGCTCTGAAACAGTATTTGAAAAAAAGAGAAAAATTTCTCACTTTATTTCATACTCGCGAAAAAGCCGTCGGAAAGAAGCGTTAGGAAAGACTTGCCATACCTTTTCCATGAGAAGCTCGCCGATATAACATAATATGTACATGTTGAAGCAGAATGAAACAAAGAGCAGAAAATAGGTCGTCAGTCCAACGGAGTCACTATCTTGCCAATCCTGCCAAATTATTATAAGTAAAAAAAAAAAAAAAAAAAACAATCAAGTACAATATTTCGCATATACAAGATAGTTTATTGCACGTAGAGAAGAAACACACACCACTATGCAGTAGTATTCGGGCAAGCACATTGTGAACACAGAACTGGCAAATTCCAGTAAACATACTTCCTGCAAAATGTCTTCCACGGCTGCTGAAAATCTGAAATAGATATATAATCGATAATTGCAAGTAAAACATTCTGGTTTTATTATCTATAAAACATGTTTCATATTTTTATTCAAGTATACACATAATTTGCGCATAAGCATATATGAAAAAACAACGCGAAGATGTAATCGCACAAGTTCAGTTGCTCAGTATGTAATGCGCAACTGCACCGTCCACACTGAAGTTCATTGGAAATGCGTTACGTACCTGTTGCACTTACTTGGCTTCGTGCTCGTCGCGCAACAAGTGTGCTTTAGCAATATATTATATCATTCTTATTTTATATTATACCATAAACGAGTGCGTAAAACTATATAGTAACTTTTTTGTTAATGTGTTTTTTTTAATTTTAGAGATTTAAAAAATTTCAATCAATCTCTCGATATCAGGTGGCGGATAATGAAACCGATTTTATGTTAATGTTAAATTTATGTAATCTTAAATGTTTGAGAAAATATATTTTTTCAATATATTTTATCAATTCTAAGGAGACGCGTATAATACTACCTCAATACACGAACGTGATGTTTTACAATAGAAGCAACTCGTTGATTGACATCCGACGACTGTCCGAATTTTTTGCCTCGCGGGAGATCCTTCAATCGGGATGCGATCACCTCAATCTGACCGCACGCGTGGGTAACGAATATCGCCGCCAGTCCGCACGATCCAGCCGTGACCGAGTACATGGTGTATCCGCACACGCAGTGGGCCAGATACACGAGCTCGTATATCGGACTTATCTGAGTTTGATGAAACTTGCTGTAAGTCGGGTACACGAGCGGCCTGACGGTCTGATTGTTGACTTTGTGCTCGGTGCAAAACGGCAGAATCGTGTGATAGATAAAGCCGGCGATGTACATGGACGTAGCGCTGATTATGGACAATCTGCGACCGGTGCTGGCGTACTTCAGCATCAGATCGCGGTCGGAACTAAACTTCACCTGTCACAGTATTGCCAGTATCCCTATTTATCAAGAGACGAGCGATAATAATCACTAGTTTTATTGAAAAATTGCCATAGAGAATAATTAGGGAATAAAACACTCAGTCGAATGAGAAATGGTATCGTTTTAATTTTTCATTAAAATGATGATTACGAGAAACTGCGTGAGAAAACTTTCGTGTTCACATAATTTTCTTACATCGCAGTAAAATTATATTGCAATTAGAACATATTAAATAGACAGAGAATATTATAAAGAGAATTGAAGTATTGCTCTTCAAAGAAAATTAAAAACTTCTTTAAACTTCACATTACATTCAACATATTTTTCGCGTCACGTATTTTTTTCTACAAGTAAAAAAGAATCGATATACTTTCGTTAATAGATAATCGATACAATCTATCGATTCTGTATTCTCTTACTGTATATTTTACAAACGACAACACCGACCTGCCACCAGTCACTTTTCACGTGCTCGATGCAACGCAATATTTTGGGCCGGCGTATCACGAGCACGAGGTACTTCATCATTGCGGAGGAGCAGAAGCCGAGCAGCCCGGAAAGCTTCAGCTTTATGTTAATGTCCTTCACGTCGTAGGTCACGTACAGAGCGCAGGGTACTATCGCGAATAACAATGCGAAATTGCACACCACGATCGAGATCTTGAACGCATTCTGACCAAGTCCTCGAATCGCGACCGGCCAGATGCCGATTGAGCCGAAGATCCAGCTGGTCGGCTTGAAGATGTATCGCATGGATCTCTGGTAACTGTCATTCGGCGACGTCGCGTGCTTCTCTCGTGAGCTTCCCATGTTCACGAAGACAAAGTTCGCTGAAGACTGCAGAAGTCGTGGACTGCGCGGCATTGATTGCAAGGTCGCTGGACATATGCGCTTGCGCTGACGTTGCGAATATTCTTCCTGCGAGTATTCTTTGATAGATCGCGTGCGTGCGATTATCCGAGAATCAGTCATAAAGGGTATATTCTTTACTCTCCGGCAGTTCTCTGAAAAGAAGTATTTCCGCGCTCCGGACTGCAATCGATTGTCTAAGAAGACGCATGTTATATTGGGATAAGAACAGAAAAAAATATCTACGTAAGTAACTATTTTTGGTGTTTTTCTTATTGTCAGAGTCAAATTTGTCATTGTCAAATTTTTATCTGTTTTGCGCATATTACACGGAAATAAAAAGGAAAAAGAAGATTGGTTTTGTGAATCTTTTACGAGGCGAAGAGAAAAAAATGTATAAGGTGAAGTGACGACTCGATATTGATGTGAGTAATATTATTATTAAAAAATTCTACTACTTAGAAATAAGTAAACTAAATAAATAGTTACAATTCGTTTACGCATCTATCTACATAATCTCATTTGTATTTACATTACTAACGTACGTAGGAAGCTCAAGTACGCCACGCTAGTTTTTAATACCTGAACAAAAATACAATAAAATAATACATATATAAACATACAATAAATAAAACTTATCGCTAAATTATTACACGAGAGAATTGTTAAAAATAAAAAGTTTTTAATGAATAATTTAGTTTCTGTAGAAAAATAATTGTTCGTAAATGTTGCAATGTCTCACAATTCCGAAAGTTGGCAACGATAAATCCACTATTCTACCAGCAGTGATCTTTACAGGATAGGAGGAGATGGCTACTATCAATGTAAGATTGCGAACTAACGTTGGTGATAATTGATACCAGTTGATCATGTAACATATCGATCCGATTTGACTGCTCTGCAACATCAAACGTACGATCACATGCATTACTGGAATTATGTGTTACGCGATTAGCGAGACGTACCTTTTCCATAAGAAGGTCGCCGATGTAACACAATATGTATATGTTGAAGCAAAATGAAATGAAAAGCAGAAAGTAATTCACTAGACTAAGTTTATTATCATCTTGCCAATCCTATTAAAATGTTAAAAAATAGAGAATATAGAGAGTTAATATGTAAACTTTTTTTATATGTAAAAGTTCTAATTTTTATTGTTTAATATGTGAATTGGCAACGCACCACTATGCAATAGTACTCGAGCAAACATATCGTGCATACAGAACTAGCAAATTCCACTACGCACACTTCTTGCAACACCTCCTCTACAGCAGCTGCAAATCTGGAATAAATTATCTTCATTTACACAATATATATCTTATGTGTTGTAGTTTTACGCAATACTTCCCGAACAAGAGTCACGTCTAAAAATTGATTAAAACGCGAAAATTAACGAGTTCACGAAAATTAGAGAGTTCACTTTTTTGAAATGGAACATAAATTTTCTCGACTGCTCCCGATAACAAGAGATAAAAAATTAAGAGAGCGAAACGGGTAAAAATATTTCGTTCCGGGTTTGCCACAAAACCGAATCAGTCGTAAAACCTTATCCCGAGTTTTACGACTAACTCTTCTCCTGGAAGTTAATGGTGATAAAAACGTGTTTATTGTCTGGAGTAAATAAGCGCAATTGCTTCGGGAAGTATTGTATGTAACTATGTATTTACATGCCGACTGCATGATTATAGTCTATGTCTACGCATATACGTACGGGCGCCGCTATATAGTAACATACTGAAGATACACTTGAGACCTACCTGTTGCGTTTGTCGCTCCATTATAATGAAAGAATAATGTGCAAACTTGCAAATATCAATTATTTTAACAGAAATACCACTTCTTCACAAGCATAAAATTAAATTAAAAATTAATGGTTTGTCAAAAATAAGTTACATAACAAATATTTTACGATTTGTATTGTTTAATATTTTTTAATAATTAAATACGATTATACCGTCGTATACAAATATTTTGTTACAATGTTTTATACTCTAACAATTTATCTTATTGAAAAAATTGTCTATTGAAAAAAAGTTTGCAATGTATACCTGACTATTCGAACGTGGCTCTTCACAATTGCAACAATTCGTTGATGAACGTTCGAAGTTTGCTCGAACTTATTACCTTCTACGAGATTTTCCAATCGCGATATAATCACTTGGATTTGACCGCAGGCATGAGTGGCGAATAAGGCGGCAAGTCCGCACGTACCGGCTGTTATCGAGTATATGGTATATCCGCACATGCAATGCGCTACGTACACCATTTCATAAAACGGACTAATCTGGGATCGGCGGAATTCACTGTGAGTCGGGTACACGAACGGTCTGAGAGTTTGGTTGTCGACGACTATGGGTTCGGAACACAATGGAATCGCGTGATAAATGATGCCAGGAGTGTACATTAAAGATGCGCCGATTATCGTCAGATTGCGACCGGTGGCAGCGTACTTCAGCATCACTTCACGGTCGGACCTGAACGACACCTGTGCGACGGTATTGCCAGTAACTTTTATTTGCAAATCGAAATGTATTGAGGTATAAAAAGAAAAGAATCAAAATGTAACACACTTGTTGCGTGCGTGCCGCACAAAATAAACGCACTATGTGCAAATATTTGTGAAAAAAAAATTAATGTTCTAAGATGTCGTACGATGTTCAAGTCAAAACTACTTTAAATTAATTTACATATCAGTTACTGTCACGGACCTGCCACCAATCACTCTTCACGTATTCGATGCAGCGCAGTATCTTAGGACGACGTATCGCGAGGATGCAATACTTGATCATCGCGGTGAGACAGAAGGCCAGCAGGCCGAATATCTTCAGCCTGACAATGATGTCCTTCTCGTCGTAGACGATGTACAAAGCGCAGGGTACCACCGTGAAGCTCAATGCGATATTCCAAATCGTGATCGCGATTTCGGACGCGCCGCGAATTGCGATCGGCCAGATGCCGATCGAGCCGAGGATCCAATGATTCAGCTTGAAGACATAACGGATGTCTCGCTGATAACAGGTGTTGCGCGTTCTCGCGGATTCGCTGCACACGCTTGACATGCTCGCGACTATAGTAACTGCCGAAGACTGCACACAAAGAATGCGCAGTATTGATTGCAAGTCACCGAACGTGCGCTTGCGCTTGTATTGAAAACATTCTTCTCTTATTTTTCCGCAGACAGTCTACTCCGTCTACTGAATTCATATTGCGCGCGAGTATGATTGTGTGACACTCGCGCACACAGCATGTGCTTGACTTGCACTTCGTTGTGCTTCAACTAATTCACACTAACAAATTTATTTCCGTAAACACGTTTGTTCCTTTAAACAGAAGGAATTCAATTTTGAATTAAAACAAGGTACGAAATGAAGAAAATTATAATAAATATAAAGAGAGAGAACAAATTTTAGTATAATTTGCTTAATTAACGTAACATTTTTTTGGAGCAGAAAGAATATACTGAATGTAAACATTTTTGTTATCATTACGGAGAATTACATCGATCTTTTAGCAATTGTTTATTTGACGCAAATAATTTTATATAGTACAAAAACTGTCTAAGAAAATATAGATTGTTTCATTAATAAACTTCTATGTATAATATCTATATTGCAATAAAAATACATACAAAATATTTTAGATAACAGAAACTACGATATTTGTAATCTGCAAAACTTTAATTAAGTAACGGTTCGAAGCAAATTTAAATACATTACGGACGATTTGAGTACCTGAAAGCAATACGAAAAACAATAAAAATCATAAAGTTGCAATGTATGGCTAAACTAAAAAGCTGTGTAAAACTGATGTTTTTTTTTGTAGAAAAACTCACAACGCCGAAGGTATGAACGGATAAATCGACGAATTTGCCAGCTGTAAGTTTAGGCGGATAATGAGACATCGTGATGATCAGCACGAGAGCGAGAGCTTTGTTTCCGGATAAATTGTACCATTTGATGTCATAGACGGCTGAGCCAATTTTGTTGTACTGCGATAAAGACAAACGCGCGAGAAATTAATATTTTTATACACAAAAAACATTTAGTTAAAATACTCACTTTGTTGACAACAGTTTTAACTCAAAAGAATATCGAAAAAATACCTGTTCCGCGAGAAGTTCACCGATGTAACAAAATATTAAAATATTGAAAGTGAAGGATATCAACAAAATGAAGTACGTCAAGATCGCCACGGCGTTGCTATTCTCCCATTCCTGAGAAAAAAGATCAGAAAATATGCAATATATGTATGTGTATACGAGGCGTGTTATTGCAAAATCAGCGAGCGAGTGCAATTTGAGAATTTTGACGAAAAACTGTTCTGAATCTTTCAAAAAATTTGCTGAATAAAAAAAAAGTAAACAAAAAACTGTTGCACAATTTAAAAAAAGATCTATATTATATCATCTGTTAAAAAAAAAAAAAAAAACTACTTTCTTTACCGTCATAACGTAGTACTCAAGCAAACAAATGATCAAGGTGGAGGCTACTACTTCCATCAAGCATATTTCGCGCAACACTTCGTCTACGCTCGTCGAAAATCTAGAAACATATCGTGTAGTTATCAAAAATGCTAGAACAATGCGCCGTACAAAGCACCGAGATGTTTTCTGACACTTGTCACTCACCTGAGCACTCGCACGTGATGTTGCGCTATTGTACGTAAACGCGTCTCCACGGTGGTGCCCTTGTTTCTGGTTCCCTCGATCAAATCGTCCATCAGTGTCATCAGTATCTTGAGTTGTCCGCAGGCGTGACACACAAAGATCGCTGCCAGACTACACGCCGATGTCGTGATGTTGTACGTGATCAGCGCGAACACACAATGAACGCAGAATACGATCTCGTAAGCGGGGCTGGCTTCGGGATCGAAGAATAAGTCATATCCGGGATAGGTGAGCCTTCTGATGGTGACGTTTCCGTCGATTGTCTGTCTGGAAGATAACGGCATGATCGTGTGATACGACAGACCGCCGGTGTAAAGGAAGACCGCGCAGATCACGGTGAGCCGACGGCCCACCTGCGCGTTCCTCTGCATGATCACGCGGTGATCCTGATCGCGCACAACCCGCCAGTCGTTCTCGACCTGCTCGATGCATCGACCAAACGACGCGCTTCGCAATCCGAGATAGCAATATTTAATCGTGGAAGTCAGGCAGAAGCCAATCGGACCGAAGAGCTTGACTCTGACGTTGATGTTCTTCTCGCGAAGCACAGTGTACAAACCGGAAGGTATCAGGACAAAACACAGCAAGAAGAAGCACGTGAGGATTAACGCTACGGAGATGAGTTTTTCTCTTCGCGACGGATGACCGCAGACCAGGTGCCAGATGCCGATTGGTTTCAGGACCCATCGGCAATACTGCATGGTATAGCGTGTATCCCCTTCATAATGAACATTTACGACGGGTTTCCGTTTCGGAAGTTGGAATCGATCGAACATGTTATCACCCGCGGGGTACAACGCCGACTGAAACGCACACAAACGGCAGTCCCGACGGCACTCGCGACGCGACGCAAGCGCGGAAAATAATTTCATAATCGCGTGCGTTTCCTTCTCATTGTAAAATGTAAACGTGTGTATAGTCGATACGACTGACTTTCCCCACGGTCGTTTCTCATCCGAGGGATGCTCGTTTATATGCGGCGATATGCAAGAAGAGCAGATCGGGAGATCGATCGAGTTCCATGACTCTCGCACACGCACACGCTGCGTAACTTCAATGGATGAAGACTGTAATGATTCGTTGGAAATAATATGTTTCTTCTTGCGATCAAGATATATGTGATACCGCACATACGAGATAAAACGTGTGTCATATAACAAATGCAATTAAAAAAATTAATTAAAGACATAATATAACATTATATATATATATATATTATAATAAGTTTATTTTTATCATCTCTTCAGGGTTTTGTCATGAGACAAAAATATAATATTTATATTTGTCTATTGCACAAATAAGCTCGTCAAAAATTATAATTTCAAAATTTCTACAACTTTTATTGCGTAACTGTTCGAAGTAAATTTAAATACACTACGGACGTTTTCAGTACCTGAAAGAAACGGCACAAGTGTTTTTAGAAATTGTTGATACTGTGATTTAAATAACATGAAAATGTTTTAAACAAATTACACATCTAGATATCATTTAAGCAGACACTCCGTCTAAGGAACTCACAGTGCTAAATGTATTGAGGGATAAATCACAGAACTTGCCGGCCGTGAGTTTCGGCGGATAATGAGACATTGCGATGATCATCACGAGATCTACAGCCTTATGACCAGGTAAATCGTACCAATTAATTTTGTACGCAGCTGAACCGATTTTGCTATACTAATAAAAAAGCGTCAGTATATTGTTGTGTTATTACAGATAGTATGCAAAATGTTATTTATTATTTATTGATAAATAAATAAATACAGAACAAATTAATGAGGATCATAACATGTAGAATATAATTAAATAGAAGTCGTTAAATTACCTCTTCCACGAGAAGCTCTCCGATATAACAAAATATCAGAATGTTGAACGTTAAAGATATTAATAAAATAAAATATGTAATGATTGCCACGGCGTCGCTATTTTTCCATTCCTGAGAAGACAAATGCACTAGATGCCTATAATTTTTCAATAAAAAATTAAGAATGATTTTTTACGGCTGTGACAAATAATTTTGCCGTCGACGATAATGACATAAAAATACGACGCGAAAAAATGTTTTAACGATTGAAATAAATAAACGTACACGATAAAAGAACATTAAGTTTTTTTAGAGATTCGTAATTTTGGTAATGCCCGTATAATTTTTCAATAAAAGATGAAGACCCATCTCATTGTTTCGATGGTATAAACAAACAAATGAGCGATAGACAGACAAATTATCGAAGTTTAATGCGACGAAACATTTTAAGAATTTGTTTCGCATCAGAAAAACTCATTGTCTTTTCAAACATCGATTGTATCTGTTTTTCTTACCATCATACAGTAATACTCGAGCAGGCATATAATTAAAGTTGAGGCCACCATTTCCATCAGGCATATCTCTCGTAATATCTCCTCCACGTCGGCTGCAAATCTGAACACATGCGATATATCGAAACGACGCGCGAAATTTACAAGACAGCGTCGTGTAGTTGTTCAAATTCAGTCTTACCTCAACACTCGCACGTGATGTCTCGCAATCGCGCACAGACGCTTGGCCACGGTGTCGTCCGTTTTTCTTCTTCCCTCGACCAGGTCGTCCAATAGGGTCATCAGTATCTGCACTTGTCCGCGGGCGTGAGTCGCGAAGATCGCCGCCAGACTGCACGCCGCGGTTGTGATGCTGTATTGGATCATGGCGGATAGGCAGTGCACGCAGAAGACAATCTCGTAAGCCGGACTCGCCCGCGGATCAAAGTACAGATCGTAACCGGGATAAACCAGACGCCGATCCACAAGGCTGTTGTTTGTCGTGATCAGGACGGACAGCGGCATGATTGTGTGATAGGACATACCGCCGGTATACAAGAAGATGACGCACAACGTGGTGAGTCTACGGCCCACTAGCGCGTTTCTCAGCATCATCCTGCGGTGATCCTGATGCCGCACGATCCGCCAGTCGTGCTCGACGTGCTCGACGCATCTGCCGATTGCCGCAACGCGCGTCCACATGATGCAGTACTTGATCGCGGAAGTCAGGCAGAAGCCGACCGGCCCGAACAGCTTGACCTTCATGTTGATGTCTTTCTCGCGCAGGAGAGTATACGGACCGGCGGGCACGAGCACGAAGCACAGCACGGAGAAGCACGCGAAGATCAGCGTCAGCGAGATCAACTTCTCGATACGTGACGATCCCTCGTAAATGAGATACCAGATACCGATCGGTTTCAGAATCCAACGGCAGAGCTGCATGGCGTAGCGTATGTCGCGCTTGTAATTCGCATTGTGCGCCAGAACTTCAACCGGAAGTCCGGATCGATCGCGCATACTTGTCGTTTGCGGGATGTAAAGCCGACTGAACGCGTTGAACTGCGACATCCGACGCGTTTCCCCGCAAAAAGCGACGCAAGCGCGGGAAACAATGATTCCGTGATCGCGTGCGTTTCATAGTCGCGTCGTGCAACAAAGTGCAGGGGTCGTACAACGGTGAACGGGTTGCTTCTCAGTCATTGAGCGTCAGAATTGCGGGAATGAGTAAAGTGCGTAGGGACGTGGTGAAGATGCATGACAGGGGTTCTGGCATAGTTTTGCGGTCGTAGCTACAATATTTCCGGTAACGTAAAGCAACCTATTGAAGATATCGCAATTATAAAAGTTAAATACGATAATATTACACAACACAATTTCTAAATGTATTCGAGTTTTTATTTATTTCTCTTCTCACAATTTTAATTTCTCGCTATAGACAATTTTTTCATAATTTTTCATTTCACTCTCATATCTACAGTGGAACAGTTAAATGCTTTCACAAATATAATTAAATGGCAATTTTATATAAATATGCTAGCATATATATAGTATATATATCTCTAATTTTTATTAAGTCTATGATTTAGCGCTCTGAGATGTATTGTTATAATGCGCAAATTTCGATTAACAATAAAATTAAACGACGTAAAAAGTACGAAGTAAATTTAAATATGCCACGGCCGCTTTTACAATCTGAAATATTTCATTTTTATCCAAATTTACGTGCAAAATAGTTTAAATAATTAAATAATTTACTTTTCAGATATTTACTTATTGTTGTAAAGTATTTGGTGAATTTATTGTTTTCTTCTACTTACGCTGCAAAAACTGGCCAGAGATAAATCCATGAATTTTCCAGCTGTGAGTTTGATCGTGGCATTCGACATGGACATTACTAGTGTCAAACCGAGCGCTCCCTTGCTCGGTATGCGATACCAATCTATCATGTAAGATTTTATGCCGATTTGTAAGCACTGTTAAAAAATTTGTATTGTAATTTTAATTGTTTTACAAGGTGTTTAGAATAACATTTATCCGTTATTAAGCATTTCTCTCTCATCCTACATTTAGTTTAACAACAAAAAGATTTCTCAAGTTTAAACTTTTGTAAAAATATTTAATTCTAAATTCGAAAAGTAAATATATCAAATTATATTATTCAATTTTCTGAAGTAATTTAGGGTTGCCTTTACACTAGTTGTTCGTAATTGCATCTGTGAATAGAAAATGTAATTACAATTCAACTCGCTTATTTCTACCTGTTCAGCAAGTAGTTCTCCGATATAGCAAAGAATAAAAATATTGAACGTGAAGGAAATGAGCAGCGAGCAGAACGTTAACGTTCCTAAAGTCTCACGATGTTCCCATTCCTAGAAGGCTAACAGTAACACGTTCATTAAGCCATTTCGTTTTGCTCTATCACCATGCGCAGTTATGTTTCGTACCGTCATCATATTGAATCCGAGGAAACATATGTTGAGCGTGCAGCCGACTACGTCCACGAAGAAAATCTCATTCAAGATCTTTTCGGTGCGAGTTATGAAACTGTAAGTCACGTGATCAAAGAAGACACAAAGACTCATTTTGTTAAGACAGAAGTTAAGAAAGCGCACGCACCTGAGTATCCTAATATGATACTGCACGATGTCGCCGAGTCTTTCATCGGACGTGCCGCCGGCGCTCTTCCGTTTTCTCCCGTCCGCGAGATCGTCCATCTTCAACATGAGTATCCGGAACTGGCCGCAGGCGTGCATGACGAACACCGCGGCCAGGCTGCAGACACCGATGGTGAGCGTGTAAATAACGTAACCGGCGAGAGCCTGCGTGAATTGCGCGATCTCGAAGGACGGCGTGGTTCTTGGATCGAGAATGCCACGGTAGATCGGAAAGGACAGCAATCTGACGGTCTCGTTGTCGATGATCTCCGTTCGCTTCGCGATAATCGGCATCAGCGTGGTGAAGAAGATGCCGGCGGAGTACATGAAGATCGCACTGACAATCGAGAGCCACCGGCCAAACTTGGCATTGTCTATCATGACCTGTCGATCTTTCTCGTGACCCAGCGCGACTCGCGTCCAATCCTCGCGCACGTGCTGAATGCACTCGCTGATGTTCTCGCTGCGAGCAATGAGGATGTACTGCTTCACCACGGCCATCAGGATGAAACTGACCGGACCGATCATTCTGATCTTGGTGTCGAGATCGGTATCCACTAGAATGGTGCACAGGGTGCACGGAATTAGGAGAAAACATATCAAGAAGCAGCTGACAATCGTCAGTATTACGCAGCCGAGCTTCTCCATTGTGGTCTCGCAGAGATTCAATGGCCACAAGCCGATCGGCTTCAGAAACCATCGGTTCAGCTGAATGCTATAGTTCCAGTCGGCCGTTACGGACTCGAGCAACTCTGAATGATCGTGCATGGTAATGACTAAATCGCGACGACGCACGCAACCGACTGAACGTCAGCGGACACTGATAGTCTGTCGTTTGACATGCGCATGTGTGCATCTCCCGATCGTTCCTGACGATTGCGTGCAAACGTAAAATTGATTCTTCCAACTTTTTCTACGTGCGCTTGTTGTATTATTAGTGAGATGTCGGTGGCAAGGAAGTTCCTGAAACTTCCTACTGTCGAGCGCGGCGAGTTCTTCGGAGGGGGAGAAGTTAAGGAAGTGTATTTGCCAGGAAAAGGGTTGCTCTTTCCAAAGAGTTGCTATTATCCACATGATCAAAGGGGAATATTTGATATACACACTTTTTTCTGTCTTTTACAGTACGCGTATACTTCGTATTTTCCGATAGAAATTCTAGCATGATTTCTTATCTTGTTTCTTGATGCACGGTTAACTTGCCGAAGGAAACATATCGTTTTTCATAAACGCTGTTGCTTAAACTTGTGAAGTGTAAGATAAAGTCGCGATACGAACGTTACGATCAAGAGGCATGGTAATGTCTCGCGCCAAGTTCACGCGCAACGAAGTGGCGCTCGAACTGAGCGAGCACACTGTGCCTCTTATACGCAAAAATCAGGCATTTCAAGGAAGATTTTTAATCAGCCATTCTTCTCAAATAACGACTGAACCGATCGACTTCTTTTTAATCTCGTTTGATTCATCTTGATAAAATAAAAAAAAATATATATTCTTGCGATTTTGTTATTTGTTTCTGATTTCTCGAGATATACGACGATGAAGTTTCAAAGTGAAAAATTTACGATTCAGAAACGTCACCGTCGTCATTGTGCGACAAAATTGTGTACATGTTCGTATGCCTGCTGTCAGATGGTATACATATATGAGCGAGTTTTAAGACGAAAAAGAAAGAAAGACAGGAAGTGTGAGTAAGAGAAAGAAAGAGAACATCACGAAGCACGGTGGTTCACGTTATTCAAGCCTCTGATAGTAGCCTCTGATATACCGAGACCGCTGGGTATCATCGTGCCGAACATCAGAAAGTAACATGTGAGTATCTGAAACTCGGAACGAATCTTGTCGACGATCGAAGTGCCGGCGGTGCTCGGCCACAAACTAATCGCTTTCAGAATCCAACGAATTATTTTAATACTGTACTCGTTGTGAGCTAAATAAGCGGTTGTGCCGATGTCATCTATAAGTTCGCTTTCCATGATTTTCTGACAAAGGCATTTTGCCCACTGGTGTGACCTCTTTGTTGCCGCGCGCAGTAGTAACGATCAACGCGTGCGCAGCCATTAAACGGCACGCAACACAAAAAATACGGTTTTTTTTGTTGTTTACACTGTAGCATTATGCATTTACGGTAACTGTACAGCTGTCGCGGCACCACGCAGCAACAATATATAATCGATAGTTGGAGCTACAGTTTTGTGAACTTCTAGCATAGAACATGACAATTTTGAACATGCAATGACATTCTAAATTTTGTGACTGTAAGTAAAGCAAATTAAAACTAATAATAAGATAATATTTTTAAACAATGTAGTAACGTAATATAATAATATACAATATATTAATAATGATAATATATAGTGCATATATATTAGACAAAGTAAAAATTTTTTTAAATAAAAATACACTGACTTTTTTTTAAATATAACATTATTTATTAAAACTTTGTTACATACATGTATCTTCAGAATATATTTCTATGTTCTATATAAAATTATATATTTATCTCGTAACGTACTGATAATTTACATAGTCATCGTTCGCAAGAGATTTAAATATCCAAAAGAAGTTTTAATTACCTGGACAAATAATAATAAAGAAAACCAATTAGTAAATTGTCCTAATTTATAGTTGTCAAACAAGAAGTAATGTTTTTAAGAAAATATTGTTATAAAAATGACACATATTACTCACATCGCCGAAAGTTGCAATAGACAATTGATATAATTTTCCTGCTGTTATTTTGATCACGTTACTCGAAGTTATAATAATTAAAACAAAACCACGAGAAGTTTTGTGCGGTAATTCGTACCAATTGGTCATATATGCCATTTCCCCAACTTGTTTACACTGGTAACATATTGAAAATGTATTAAAATCTTAAAAGAGATAATCAACAGGAAGAAGGAAAATGTTTTTACACAGATATTTGACATTATACGATATTCGATTTTGAGATTAAATTATACATTACTTGTTCTATGATAACCTGTCCAATGTAGCAAAATATGAAAATATTAAAACCCATCGATGCGTATATAGGAATGTAAGATAACAATTTCATGGTATTTAACTCTTGCCAAGCCTGAAAAATAAAAATATGATTATTACCAATTATATATGTAAAACTATATTTATGTATAAGAACAAAAACGTCAAAAAGAAATGTCTTTTTTACGTCTTTGGCGTACCATAATGCAATAATATCCGAGCAAACACATGTTTATTGTGCATCCTGCCAACTCCGCAAGCGAAGCTTTATGCATAATACTTTCCACACACTTTATAAAACTAAAATATACTAAACTTTTTTTATCAAGGAAGATTCGCAAAACAATGAAACATAAAGAAAAATGTAGAGAAGTTCTCCGTCTTAAAATAACATTTATGTTTATTAAAATAGAAAAAACTATTCTTTAAAGATGTTTTTAAACAAACTTCTTTCCGTATTACTTACCTCAATATTCTCAAATGATGTTCCACGGCAACAGCTAATTTTCGTTGAGTTTCGCGACTTCTTTTCTCCTGATACTTTGCAAGATCGTCGAGCCATACGTACAACACATTCAGCTGACCACACGCATGCATTGCAAAGACCGCGGCCAGACTGCAAGCGCCGACGGTAGAACAACTCGCCACGAATGTCGACATGAACTGCACGGTCAGCATGATTTCATTCACGGGAGTGAATCGCGTGTCGACAAATTTGCTGTAAACCGGACACGTCATCGGATGCATCGTGTATGTCTCGTTGTCGAAGATAAACGTCGTAGTTTTTACTGCCTGAGCTATATTGAAGAAACATGCACCTCCCTGCATAATCACTGCGCAGATGCTGGCGATAAAACGGCCGAACTTGGCGTGCTGCATCATTATATCTCGATCCTTGGCTCTTCGAACGGTCTTCCAATCCGCTTCCATGTGCCGTATGCAATTGCGAATATCGTCGCTGCGCATGATAAGCGTCCAGTAATTTACCGTGCCCATAACCCTGTGAATCAGCGGAGCAATGGCTTTCAGTTTCAACTTGACGTTCTTCTCCTCTATTAAAATGTATAACAGGCACGGAAACATTATAACGAATATCAGTGTCGCGCAAACGAGAACATGCAGCCTCGCGAGGATTTTCAACATCGCGTTCGATGTATTCGCTAACGGCCAAGCGCCGATCGGCAAGAGAAACCATCGATTCACTTGAAGACTGTAATTTATGTGAGATTTGATTTCAACACTTGCTGACGTGACTTCCGATTTTGCCATGATCGCTTTACAGACGCATACGATATACTGTCATGTACTAGACAATGCCCTCCAATCAAGAGATAACATGTTTGAAGAGACGCCTGCGCCTCCGGTGAATCTTACCACGCTATTATTGATGTTTTTTTTCTGACAGAGATACTAAAGACTTAGTCTCAATCAATAATTTCTGTTTGTGTCTAATACGTTTGTTCTGTCAGTTTAATGAGAGATGGTCTGAAGAAAACACAAGAACACAAGTGCGTAGCGCCAATCAATAATCTCTGTTCGTGATTGACACTGTGTTTGTTAGTTTAAGAAGAAGCATTCTGAGAAGAAGTACATTAATATTTTTGTTCAAGTGAGAGCGATTTCGTAGTGTTTGATATTTTTCACGTGAGTTTTTAGAATTGAAATTACAATTTTTTAAATCATATATGATGTTAATTTTGCATTTCTTAATTTATTTTTACCTGAGTACTCTCAAATGGTAATCAACGATGACAGCGAGATTTTGCTGCGAAGACTTTTTCTTCTCGTTTTCCTCGTCAATGATATTGTCCAGTAGCGGCATAACAATCTTCAACTGACTGCAAGCGCGCAACACGAAAACATCGGTGAGGCTACACTTGGCCACTAAGATAGAATTCATCATGAACGTGGAGAGACATTGTATGGCACGGAGAAGCATTTAGGTACGTCAGTAATGTTTTCAAGTTTGTAATGTGCGTTACAGACATTGAAAAAAATATATTTGATTGTTTAACATTAAAAAAATTTTTTTCTAAATACTTTTAAAATAGTTTTGTAAACTTTTTGTACACAACGGTATTTTCGACATAGGTAAAATTTGATTCGAAGTAATGTGAGTTAATTCCGTGAGACTTATAAATTTGACAGAAGCTTACTCAAAAAATACAAAGATATATAATTTGTATTGTATATAGAGAATTTATTGAGAATATTAAAACACACATTTAAATATAAAAAAACAAATAAAAAATAAATTATCTACTGTTGACGTAAATTATCTACATTCTACATAAATGATACACACTCTCTATTATCTCTTTCACACAATAAAATAATTTAATTAGTTACATTAAAGTCCGAAGTAAATTTAAATATGCTAGTGCAGATTTAATTACCTGAAAAAGTAAAATATTAGGCATATCCTAATATCTTAGAAACAATAGATTAAAAAAATAATATTTATAAATATTAAATATTACACATAAGAAATATATTACAAATAATGAAATAAAACAATAAAGTTTAAATTTATTTATTTTAAATTTAAATATTTTTTCAAATTTATATATATTTTACGTGAATATTTTATATGTATACATGTAGTAATCAACTAATATATATATTTCAGATATTATTTAATTAGATAAATATATTTTTGAATACTTACATCACCGAAAGTACTAAATGAAAGTTGAACAAAGTTTCCGGCAGTAAGTTTGAGAGCAGCGTTAGATCTTAAAATGATCAAAACGAGTCCGAGTGCTGTTTTTTCAGGTAAGAGATACCAATTTGTCATGTAGGCAGATTTACCGACTTGTCCGCCCTGTTGAAGACCGTTTTATTTACCTGGTATAATTTAATTGAAGAGACTAGCACTATTTTCATGTTTTAATAAATGTGTCACACGGATACAATTGTTACAAAGTTTGTAACAATTGTATAAACCGTACAAACTTTTTTAATGTTTCAAATGTACCTGTTCAGAGAGAATTTCTCCGATGTAACAAAATATAAAAATATTGAAAGTAACAGAAGTTAATATTAAACAATACGTCACAATATTCTGCTTGTTATCGTGAATCCAATCCTAAACATTAGAATATTAAACAAGCCGGACGTAAAAAAAATCAAGCAGTAACTTGTAAATCAATCTCGTACCATAATGCAATAATATCCTAAGAGACATATGTGCATCGTGCATCCGACTAATTCCACAAGACATATTATATTTGTAATTCTTTCCGTACGAATTACAAGTCTGCAAATTTAATACATGTTACTATGCATTATAATTATCCAGTAATCGTCAAATTGTGTTAAATTGTGAATTATCAATAACATGTGCATTTAAATAATTTTTTTACTTTTTATTCTCTTTCTGTCTAGATTCTGCTACACTCAAAGATAAAAAATGTTGATTATTAAAACAAGAAATTCTAAAAAAAGAATTATACTTATGAGAAATGAGAACTCACCTTAAGACTCTCAGGTGATGTTCAATAATGATGGCAAATTTTTGGTTCACCAAAGTCTTCTCTATGTTTTTTTTGTCCACGAGATTGTCGAGCCGAAGCATCAATATTCTCAGCTGGCCGCACGCGTGCATTACAAAAACCGCTGATAAGCCGCACGCGGCGACCGTGACGGAATTGACGACGAAGGTCGAGAGACATTGCAGAAGAAACACGATCTCGTATGCCGGGCTAGAGTGCGCGTTTAGGATCTTGCTGTAGAAAGGATAAGGTAGCGCGCGCACCACCACACTGCTGTTGTCCACGTAAATGATGTCCGTGGAAAAAAAGCGAACCATGTTGAACGAGAACACACCGCTGTGCATGAATATGACGCAAAATCCGGCAATAAATTGGCCTATCCTGGCGTTCTTCAGCATCACTTGTTGATCCTCGTGTCTCCTGACGATTCGCCAGTCCGTTTTCACGTGCTCCACGCAGCCGCGTATGTCGTCGATGTGCATGAGAAGAAAGGAATAATTTACAATCGCCATGAACCAAAAGGTGAGCGGACCGAAGCTGCGCAATTTAACCTCGTACGTCTCTTGCGATTCGATAAAGATACCGAGACCGCTGGGTATCATCGTGCCGAACATCAGAAAGTAACATGTGAGTATCTGAAACTCGGAACGAATCTTGTCGACGATCGAAGTGCCGGCGGTGCTCGGCCACAAACTAATCGCTTTCAGAATCCAACGAATTATTTTAATACTGTACTCGTNGTGAGCTAAATAAGCGGTTGTGCCGGTGTCATCTATAGGTTCGCTCCCCATGATTTTCTGACAAAGGCAGTTCGCCCACTGGTGTGACCTCTTCCCTGCCGCGCGCAGTAGTAACGATCAACGCGTGCGCAGCCATTGAATGGCACGCAACACAAAAAATACGGTAGGTTGTACATTGTAGCATTGTGCATTTACGGTAACTGTACAGCTGTCGCGGCACCACGCAGCAACAGTATATAATCGATAGTCGGGGCTAAAGTTTTGTGAACTTTTACCATGGAACATGACAATTTTGAACATGCAATGACATTCTAAATTTTGTGACTGTAAGTAAAGCAAAATAAAACTAATAATATGATAATATTTTTAAACAATGTATTAACGTAATATAGTAATATACAATACATTAATAATTATAATATATAGTGCATATATATTAGACAAAGTAAAAATGTTTTTAAATAAAAATATACTGACTTTTTTTTAAATATAATCTTATTTATTAAAACTTTGTTACGTACATATATCTTTAGAATATATTTCTGTTCTATAAAATTTCTTCTGTTCTATAAAATATTATATATTTATCATATATTTATCTCGTAACGTACTGATGATTTACATAGTCATCGATCGCAAGAGATTCAAATATGCAAAAGAAGTTTTAATTACCTGAACAAATAATATTAAAGAAAACCAATTAGTAAATTGTCGTAATTTATAGTTGTCTAATAAGAAGTAGTGTTATTAAAAAGATATTGTTATAAAAATGACATATATTACTCACATCGCCGAAAGTTGCAATAGACAATTGAAATAATTTTCCTGCCGTAATTTTGATTACGGTACTCGATCTTATAATGATTAAAACAAAACCACGAGAAGTTTTGTGCGGTAATTCGTACCAATTGGTCATGTATGCCATTTCCCCAACATGTTTACACTGATAACATATTGAAAATATAAAATTTAAATTTAAAAAATTTAAATTTTAAAAGAAATAATCAACAGGAAGAACGAAAATTTTTTTACACAGATATTTATACGATTTTCGAGTTTGAGATTAAAAGATACATTACTTGTTCTATGATAACTTCTCCGATGTAGCAAAATATGAAAATATTAAAACACATTGATGCGTATACAATAATGTAAGATATTATTTTTACGGCACTAAATGCTTGCCAAGCCTGAAAAATTAAAATAATATTATTACCAATTATATATGTAAAAATATATCTACATATAAGAACAAGTACGTTAAAAAACATGTCTTTCTTAAGTCTTTAGCGTACCATAATGCAATAATATCCGAGCAAACACATGTTTATTGTGCATCCTGCCAACTCCGCAAGCGAAGCTTTATGCATGATACTTTCCACACACTTTATAAAACTGAAATATACTGAACTTTTTTTATCAAGAAAAATTCGCAGAAAATGGAACATAAAGAAAAATGTAGAGAAGTTCTCCGTCTTAAAATAACATTTATGTTTATTAAAATGGAAAAAATTATTCTTCAAAGATGTTTTTAGACAAACTTCTTTCCGTATCACTTACCTCAATATTCTCAAATGATGTTCCACGGCAACAGCTAATTTTCGTTGAGTTTCGCGACTTCCTTTCTCCTGATACTTCGCAAGATCGTCGAGCCATACGTACAACACATTCAGCTGACCACACGCATGCATTGCAAAGACCGCGGCCAGACTGCAAGCGCCAACGGTAGAACAACTCGCCACGAATGTCGACATGAACTGCACGGTCAGCATGATTTCATTCACGGGAGTAAATCGCGTGTCGATAAATTTGCTGTAAATCGGACACGTCATCGGATGCATCGTGTAAGTGTTGTTGCCGACGGTAAAATTCGTAGTTTTTACTGCCTTGGCTATACTGAAGAAAAATGCACCTCCCTGCATAATCACTGCGCAGATGCTGGCGATAAAACGGCCGAACTTGGCGTGCTGCATCATTATATCTCGATCTTCGGCTGTTCGAACGATTCTCCAATCCGTTCCCATGTGCCGTATGCACTTGCGAATGTCGTCGCTGCGCATGATAAGCGTCCAGTAATTTACCGTGCCCATAACCCTGTGAAGCAGCGGACCCACGGCGTTCAGTTTCAACTTGACGTTCTTCTCCTCTATTAAAATGTACAACAGACACGGTAACATTATAATGGATATCAGTATCACGCAAACAAGAATATGCAGCCACGCAAGGATTTTCAACATCGCGTTCGATGTATTCGCTAACGGCCAAGCGCCGATCGGCAAGAGGAACCATCGATTCACTTGAAGACTGTAACTTATGTGCGATTTGATTTCAACATTTGTTAACATGACTTCCGATTTTGCCATGGTCGCTTTACGAGCCGATACACTTTTATGTAATGGACAATGCTCTCCGATCAAGGTATTACAAGTTGAAAGAGACGTCCGTGCTTCTGTTGAAGCTCATCGTGCAATTATTGATTTTTTTTTTCTGGCAGAGACACTAAAGACTTAGGCTCGATCAATAATTTCTGTTTGTCTTCAATACGTTTGTTCTGTCAGTTTAATGAGAGATGGTCTGAAGAAAACACAAGAACACAAGTGTGTAGCGCCAATCAATAATCTCTGTTCGCGATTGACAATCTGTTTGTTAGTTTAAGAAGTAGCATTCTGAGAAGAAGTACAGTAATATTTTTGTTCAAGTGAGAGCGATTTCGTAGTGTTTGATGTTGATTAGTGAAATGTGATTTAAGAAAATTATCAGAATATCAAACGTAATCAATTCGACAGCAAACTTGGATCATTAAGAAGTACAGTATTTTTTGCAGAGAAGTTTTTAAACATGACTAATTGAAACTTTCATGAATCAAATATAAAGAGTGTCGAGATATAATAACTTGTTAATTACTGCTTTTTGAGATATAGCGTGAAAGTTATTTTCGTCTCAATTTGATTTCTTTAATCTGCGGTTTCAATATACATATATGCGATCTCAATACACATATATGCGTTTTACTTTGAAAACATGGGAAAATATACAATAATGTACAATATCATTTTCTAATATCAGTATTATTGTTATTTATCTAATCATTTGTACTATACGTATTTGGTAATACATATTTACTTTACATACAAAATTTATAGAAACATCTATGTAATAAGAGTACGAAATATATTTAAATATGCTAAGGCGGATTTAATTACCTAAAAAACAATTAATAGTCAAAAATCAGTAGGTAAAAAATATTTAGAGTAAAAAAACTATAATTATATATCTAAACTATGAAAGCATCGTTACTTATTTATTGCAGAAAAAATAAAGAGTATTTACACGCATACTTACATTACCGAAAGTTGAGAGAGAAAGCTCTATCATCTTTCCGGCGGTAATTTTCACTACAATACTAGATTTTAAAATTATCAAAACGAGGCCGAGAGCAGTATTTCGAGGTAACAAATACCAATCTGTCATGTAAGCGATCTCGCCAACTTGGCTGCACTGTTATAAGCCGTTTTACACACCTGTCATAATTAAGTCCAACAGTACGTTCGCAACAATATATCGCGATTTTTATTTATCACATTTGATATGTGAAATAATGTATTTATAAGATCTTGTAGTGATTTTTGTGATTTATACACAATTCAATACTTTCAATATGGACGTTACCTGTTCCGAAAGGATTTCTCCGATATAACAAAATATAAAAATGTTGAAAGTGACCGAGATCAATATTATAGAATACGCCACTACTTCTTTACGATCCTTGTCCCAATCCTAAAAATAAAATCATTCCTAAAAAACTATTCCGCACCGGAAACAGATTAACGAACAGTGAATATCGCGTAAGTTTCACAAAATGTGCCCACCAATATGCAGTAATAGCCCAACAGACACATATGCACGGTACAACCCACTATTTCCACAAGACAAGTGACATTTGTAATTTTTTCTATGGTAGACACGAAGCTGGAAATATCAGTATCGTTTTATACATGTGTACACACAGTCTAAGTTCTAAATTTGAAGAAATTTATTCTATTTTATTTTTGTTTTAAGCTAATATAGGAATATAAGGTCATGTAGAGCTGTTTGCAGGGACATGTGAGAATGTTTATATATGAATGCATATATATATGTATTCACGTGTAATATTTTTCACGTGAGTTTTTAGAATTGAAATTATAATTTTTTAAATCATATATGATGTTAATTTTGCATCTCTTAATTTATTTTTACCTGAGTACTCTCAAATGGTAATCAACGATGACAGCGAGATTTTGCTGCGAGGAGTTTTTCTTCTCGTTTTCCTCGTCAATGAGATTGTCCAGTAGCGACATGACAATCTGTAACTGACCGCACGCGTGCAACACGAAAACAGCGGTGAGGCTACACGTGGCCACTACGATAGAATTCACCACGAACGTGGAGAGACACTGTATCGCGAACATCATCTCGTAAGCCGGGCTCGTTGTCGTGTCCAGGAGCTTGTTGTAAAACGCGAAGGGCAGCGAGTGGCCTGACACGTTGTCGCCGAGGACAGAGGACTTCAATTCTATTGTCCGGAATATGCTGTACGAGAATACGCCGCTGTGCACAAATATCGCGCCGAATATCGCGATGAAACGGCCCATTTTCGCGCTTCTCAGCATCACCTCCTGGTCCTCGATCTTTGTCACGGCCTGCCAGTCCGTCTCGACGTGCTCGACGCACCGACGTATGTCGTCGACATGCGCCAGCAACGAACTATACTTGAGACTGGCCAGCAGCCAGTTGCTGAGCGGCCCAAAATCGCGTATTTTTGTCTCTAGGTTCTTGGTGTCGTCCAGGAAGACGGCCATCGCGCAAGGCACCAAAGTAGCGACAATCAGAAAGACACATGTTATCAGCAACACCGCCGACAGAACTTTCTCCTTCATCGATGAGCTCCTCACCGGCCAGACGCTTATCGGTTTCAGCAGCCAACGAATTGGCTCTATACTGTAATTCGTGTGTTCCACGTACTTCAGCGTGACCGGAATACTCCGCTTCTTCATGATTACTTCACAAAAGCGCGGACACGATTGAACAGTCGCGCGAACAAAAACCACCTGGAACACGCGAGGCAAACGCGTGCGCGGTATAGCAACTCTATACTTTTGTGCACATGTTTTTTTCGAGGAATCGATATTTACAGAAGTAGCGAAGTAGAGGTAATAAAGTTTAGTATAGTTTAGCCCAACATTGTAATTTTGTTGAAAGGGACACTTGCATATCGAATCGATAATTGATGGAAAACATTGTCGGCTGGCTGACGGAACATGCTATAGACAGATTTATGGAAAAAGCAACAAATATGTCTTCATTTGTCCGAACTTCTTTGGTTGTATTTTTCTTATTGGCATCAAGTAAGGTAAAGTTTATACACTGGATATTGGCATTCATATATTTTTATTGATCAACCGTGTCTTACACATATGTTGAGAATAGATTTCTGTGTTCTATATAAAAATATATTTCCCGCAAGTTTTGTTTATATTTTATTATGATTCACATAGTCATTGTTCGCAAAAGATTTAAATATACCATGGAAGTTTTAATTACCTGAACAAATAATGAATAAAAACAATTAGTTCAACCGTTGTAATTCGTAGTTATTCAAAGAAGAAATAGTTTAATGTTATTAAAAAATCAACATTGGTATAAGAATTGCATTACTCACATCGCCAAAAGTCGCAATAGATAAGTGAAATAACTTTCCCGCCGTGATTTTGATAACGTTACTCGATCTCGCAATAATCAAAACAAAACCACGAGCTGTTTGGTGCGGTAATTCATACCAGTTGGTCATGTATGCCATTTCACCAACATGTTTACACTAATAAGTAAATATGCACTTATATACTTTTTGTATTAGTAACTTTTATATTAGTATAAAAAACGCATCTTCCTTAAAAATTGAATGTCAAAAGACGTAAATCTTTTACGCAGACGTTAGGAGAGTGAAATATTACCTGTCCTGTGACAGTTTCTCCGATGTAGCAAAATATAAAAATATTAAAACCCATCGATGCGTATACAATAACGGAAGATGTTATTTTCGCGACATCAAACACTTGCCAAGCCTGAAAAATTATAATGAGATATCTAAAATGAAAAAAAAAAAATCAGTAGTAACATTTATTTTACCCAACAGTTATTTATCCTGCAACTGAATACCTACAAATGACTTTCCAAAGAAAATGATAATAGGTGTAGCAGAAAAAATATATAAATGTTTAATAAAAAATATTTTGCGTACCATAATGCAATAATATCCAAGTAAACACATGTTTATTGTGCATCCTACGAACTCCACAAGAGAAACTTTATGCATAATACTTTCCACGCGTTTCAAAAAACTGAAATGTACACGAGAAAAATTCTCTATCTTAAAATACGTTCTTTTTATATTTCATAAAATAAGAAGAATGATTGATCAAGTGTTTTCGAAAAAATTATACGTTCTTCCTTTCATATTGATTACCTCAAAATTCTTAAGTGATGCTCCACGATAGTAGCCATTTTTTGCTGAGTTATGTCATGATTTTGTTTCTTCTGATTCTTCACGAGGTCATTGAGCCACATGTACAACATGTTCAGCTGGCCACACGCGTGCATTGTGAAGACCGCGGCCATACTGCAAGCACCGACAGTAGAAGAGCTCACTACGAACGTCGACATAAACTGCACGATCAGCATGATTTCATTCACGGGAGTGAATCGCGTGTCGATGAAGTTGCTGTAAATCGGACACGTCATCGGATGCATTGTGAAAGTTTCGTTACCGACGGTAATGGTTGTAGGTTTCATCGCTTTGGCTATACTAAACAGAAATGTACCGCCCTGCATGATCATTCCACAGATACAGGCGATGAAGCGACCGAACTTGGCGTGCTGCAGCATTATCTCTCGGTCCTCGGGTCTTTGTATCAGTTTCCAATCCGTTTCCATGTGCCGTATGCACTTGCGAATGTCCTTGCTGCGATGCAGGAGCGTCCAGTAATTTATTATGCCCATGACTCTGTGAAGAAGCGGCCCTGTGGCGCTCAGTTTCAACTTGATGTCATTTTCCTCCAATAAAATGTACAACAGGCACGGTACCATTATGATACATATCATTGTCGCACAAGTGAGAACATGCAGCCACGCAAGGACTTTCCACATCACGTTCGATGTACTCGCTATCGGCCAAGCGCCGATCGGCAAGAGAAACCATCGAGTCAGTTGAAGACTGTAATCGTTATAACATTTTATATCAGTACTCCTTGACGCAACATCTGATTTTGTCATGGTTGCTTCACGGACGTACCCGATGCTCTGTCATAATGTGATGGACAATAGTGTGCCTAAGGGGTTGAAATAGCGTCTGCGCCAACACGAGTAAAAGTTTGACGACTACAAATGTAATTTTTTTTCAGTCGGATACACCTATGTAGTACCGATCAATAATCTCTGTTCGTGACTGATACCTTGTCGTGTTAGTTTAATAAAAGACATGCTGAGAAGAACATGAGAACACTTTTGAAGTGATTACGCAATGGTGCAATGTTGAGCTTTGGTTAAATGAATTTCAGGAAAACGATCAGGAATGACATCTGTGCTTTTGAGAAAAACGTAAGTGTAAAAAATCTTGTCATGATGTATTATTAACAATTTTTATTAACTATTTATTCTATTTTTTTGTGAAAAATGTTTCATGTTTGTGTTTCATGTAAGTTGTTTTTTTCTTAACATTTCATGTAATCATTGTTCGCAAAAGGCTCAAATACGTCATGGAAGTTTTAAATACCTGGAACAGCAAAATTCCAGTTTCTATCGCTAAGAAACATTTGTGAAATCTTTGATTAAAAATGATTTTTTATAATTAATATTTTGGTGAAATATACTTTTGAAACAAAGTAAAAAACTTGAATCTTCTACTTATTTGAGGAAACAAATAAAAGATTCAATTCTTTTACAATTCTATTTTTATCGAATATTAGTGTAACATAATACTCACATCGCCAAAAGTTGCAATGGACAATTGAACTATTTTTCCCGCGGTCATCTTGATTATTTTACTCGATCGCATGATTATCAAAATAAAATAGAGTGCAGTTTTTCGAGGCAGTTTATACCAGTCAGTCATATATGCCACGTCACCCACAGTTTTGCACTAATAAATAAATATTTAAAATTTAGTGTCTTAGATATATTTGAAAAAAATTGATGTGAATCACTTTAGAAATTTAAAGACAATTATATTGAATTTTATAATAAAGTTTAGTTTTCTTCTACGCATATGTTAGTATTTAGTAAATGCAACTATGAAAAATTTTGTAAGCATCTAAATATTTGTTTAAATTGTTTTGATATTACCTGTTCTGTTAGAGTTTCACCAATGTAGCAAAATATAAATACATTGAAACTCATCGATAAATATACTGTAATATACGATAATATTTTCATAGCATCGAATGAAC